GGGCAGGACCCACCCCCTTCCCCTCCCCTGCAATGATTAACCCATCGATCAACAGCGCCTGTTTAATATCTCTCACTATAAACACTCGCTATTTGCAAGCCCAGCCAGATGGGCAGATAATTTAAAACAGGACTTCGAATCTATTTGAGTTTCTAGAAGCCTGACTTTAAAAAAAAAAAAAAAAAAAAAGAAAAAAAAAACCCCACCACCCCCAAGCCTGGAATATCCTAGAGATGCCCATGCAATCACACGGCCAATTTGCGTGGTAATTACCTTGATTCCATGTGTGCTCGTGGTAATTGGCACCACAGATGGTGTTTGGATGCATGACTGGTCACTTGTGCATGCAGAACCTCTGCTCATCCCACACCGGGGGAGTTGCACATGCAAATGAAGGTGTATCCCGAGCTGGGCAGGAGCAGGGAATGCCTGGGCAGGGTGGGGGTTTCAGGCCTTTTCCCTGAATTACAGGATGTCCTGAGCTGGAAGGGACCCACGGGGATCATGGAAATCCAGCTCCTGGCACTGCACAGCACACCCCGAGAATTTTGGGAAGTGCCCTGGAGTCGGGGAGGAGGCTGCAGGGTGTCCTGGGAATGCCACAGCCAGCCAGGAGCAGGTGGATGCTGGGATGGTGCTGCCAGCTGTGCCCTCCCTGGTGATGGGGGGGTCACCCTGTCTGCCCTTCTCCACTTGACAAATTCACCTTTAAACCCCTTTTCCAAGGCTGTCCTTTGGAAAGTGAGTGAATCCCTGTGCCATCCCATTAGTCCATCCCTGTGCCACCCCATTAGTGCATCCATGTGCCACCTCATCCATGTTTTCACCTCCACAACTCCCTGCCAGGAGGGGGGAGCCGGGATGGGTCAGGCTCTGCTCCCAGGGAACAGGGACAGGAGGAGAGGGAACGGCCTCAGGCTGTGCCAGGGGAGGCTCAGGTTGGACATCAGCAGGAATTTCTCCCTGGAAAGGGTGGTCAGGCCTTGGCAGGGGCTGCCCAGGGAGGTTTGGAGTGCCCAGCCCTGGAGGTGTCCAGGGAAGGACTGGCTGTGGCACTCAGTGCTCTGGGCTGGGGACAAGGTGGGTACAGGGGGGACTCGGTGACCTTGGAGGGCTTTTCCAAGCTCAGTGATCCTGGGATCCATCAGCACATCCATGTTCCACCCCCCCAGTGCATCCCTGTGCCATCCCCAGCAGCTCCTGCTCCGTCCTTCCCGGGAGGGGCCGTTGCCTTCGGAGCCAGTCTATCCCAAAGTTATTATTCATTTTTTATTGCCTCCCGGCTTTAGGGCTTTGGCAGAAGATAAATTCCAAGGAGCCATCCATTCCGGAGCCCGACAGTGTAGCTTAACGCTAACATTTACATTCTGCCGGTGTTTATATCCAGCTGATCCCACTCAATCTGCTCCCTGTGCAAACTCCGGGCCACCTTCCCGGGGATCAATACCTCCATCAAAGGTTAGATGAAGGTGGCCAGATTCTTTTAAGCTGTTTGCAGAGCCCTCAGTTTGCTGTGCTAACACAGCCCGGGTACTTCTCCCAATCGCCGTGTTTGCCTTGTATTAGGGCTGTTTGCTGAAACACCTTCCAGAATCCAATCGAGGACAGGCTTTCTAAACATTTGGTCACATCTGTCAATCAATAACGCCAATCGGTTTCCTGATACAAACAGCGA